CCACCACCCCATTGATCACGCGGCGTTGAAGACCAAAAATAACAAAATCGACAAGTCATTGATATCTGACAGTCGTGAGCACGTTTCCCGCCACAACGGACGTCAACTGGCTCTCGACCAATGTTGTCGAGCTGTGCCAGCTCCACTTTCGATCTGGTTATTGATTATTTGGATTAGAGCCCTTTCGACAAACAGTGATTAGTTCAGGGCTATGTGATGGAGAAGAGTGGATAACGGCGGGGGACCAATCGCCGAGCCTTAATGGTGGAGGTGGGGGATAACATGCGCCTGGGGAGACCAACCGCCGAGCCTTAACGGTGGTTGGGGGAGGGGGGAGGGGACAACATGCGCCTGGGGGACCAACCGCCGAGCCTTAACGGTGGTTGGGGGAGGGGGGAGGGGACAACGTGCGCCTGGGGGACCAGCCGCCGAGACTTAGCACCCGCAGGGGTCCCCCTGCGGAGCATGCGCCTGGCGTCCGGATGCCCCCCCCCCCCCTCCAGGGGGCCTTTCAGCCCACCCGTGGCTAGTGCATGCAGCCTGCCGCGGACAAGCGGGGCGTCGCGAAGATGCAGGATGAAGCAAGAAAGAGGACAAAAGGTTCGGATTATTAAATCTGAAGTACGTTTTGCGCTGCATGATGCAAGAAGTTGGAAATGGGCCATAATTAGTACAGAGACATGTCACGCGGTCAACTAAATTTTCGAGAATAACGCTTCTGACCATTTAATCGTAAACTGACTTGTAAAGAATGGCGCAATTAACCGATTAACTGTAAATTGACTTGTCAAAAACAATGCCATAACCGAGCATACGGATATAGTCAAACACCTTAAACTCACAGACAAATGTGCAAGAACACCACGAGAAAGGGTCCAAAACACAAGCACAAACGATATTTGAGTCAAGAACACTCAAGCACCGCCACGGCCACCTCTCGGAAGGTTGAAGCACTACAAGTGAGTGCCAGGGTGGCAATTTCGCACGACCAGTTTGCAGCACTTAAACGTCATACGAGTGTTTTATGACGCAATCAAACAATGACTCATTGCGAAGGATATTTACTTAACAGAGAAATTTCGTTGTCTAGAACGGTCTTTTCCACTTGGAAGTATACCAACAGCTGTAAGTTAGCTTACTTCATCATTTCTGACGCTTGCTTCAGTGTAATGACATGTGGAACATTCCCTTTAAGCGAGGGAGTGGAGGAGGGGGGGGGGGGGGGCGGAGCTCAGTCAGAGCACATCACGCTTTTTTACTTTCTATCTTTTCTGAGTCAGATATGGTGAGAGACGGACCGAAGAAGATGGGGTGGCCGGGTCCTCTCCCCCCCCCCCCCCCCCCCCCGACTGAGCCATGATCGATAGCAGACTTTCGGTCGTTACGTTGCTCGGCCATACCCACCAAGCACGAAACTTTAACCATGGCCATGCTCGAGATTTACAGCTGAAGTGCTGTTTCTGGTTTTTCGCGAGCTTTTTTCGGTTTTTCGTTGGTTTTTTTTCGTTCGCCGTTCGTTCGCCCGGTTTTTCGCGAGCGCGGTACACTCAAATCAGTCGTCTATCAAACGCTCGGGCCATTCAAGCACGAATCTGGATCCTTAGTGCAGTGGCAACTAGCCTTTGCGCCAGGGGCGTAGCGCTGCAAAATGTGTTTGGGGAGGGGGGGGGGGGGGGTCAGCAGTGAAATTGATCAAACTCACCCATAATTCGCCATCGATTGGGCGTCTTCCGGATTGGGAAAGATTTCTTCTCAAATATGGGAGGTTGGAGACCAAATCGGTGTGGGAAGGGGGCTGGTATTGGGAGGGGGAAGCTGAAGCCCTCCCCCAAATGCATAGGAAACTATACCAGCGCTTTGCGTCAGCTGTAGTGTTTTTGTGACAGTGTTTGACGCCACTGAGTTTAACCAATTATCCACCAGCTGCAGCGTTTGTAACTCCAACGGACACCATACCAGATTGCCCTTACGGAAATGCACACAAGGACTCCCCTTTGACGATGGATGCGAACTCTTTTCAGCCCCGTGCAGGACTTTGGGCATCGAAAGAGACATCCACTGGAGCGTCCAAGCTGTGCCCAATTGCAGACAACATGAGAGCAATAGCAAAACGTGACCTCAAGAGATCTAAAAAATGTAGGGAAAACATGATGGACATCGGAAGCTGCAACCCCTAGAGGAGCCCCCATCCTCCCACTCCCCTCCCTCAGTGGCCCCTCCTCATGAGAACTCCTGTCGGCGACTCCTTGAAGCCAAGCACCCTCCTCACGAAAATCCTGTGTGCGCCTCTGGCCCGTGGGCGTGCTGCTCGCTGGCTTCAACGTGGTGGAAGTATCTGAAGAGTGAGGTAGACACGCCTAGCAGACTACGTAAACACGGATCGCACATGCAGCTGTGTACAACGCCTCAGACCGTACGGCAGACCCAGCTGTACCCTATCAGCTGCCCATCGCACTCACTTCTGTCGGCTCCACCGTGGAAACTGCGGCAGCCACCGTCCTGATCGTTGCCGCCGACACAGTCCAGACACGACCAAGGACATCGCGGCAGGAGATGTCCGTGTCTGATGTCTTAAGACACGCCCGAAGACACGGTCGGTTGTCGGGCGGCCGCGGCGCCTAGGCGTGGCCGCGGCCGCCTGGCCGAGAACGCGTATCGACGGGTGACGTCACTGGGCCCCGCCGCCTGATTGGTCACAGAGACGCAGGCTTTTCAATTAGCTGATGTGGTGACCCAAGGGAACGGATATCATCGCACGAGTGTGACCTGTCGTTTGGGGTCAGAGGTGTACGCGCATAGTAACCCTCAGGTTACGTGCCCCCCCACCCCCTCCCACCATTACCAAATTTATTACAGGCATCACGATGCACGCCATTAAATGACGACAATTAAAAGTCCAGGCAGCGTAAGCGTCAAACTAAGATCCAGAACATGTACCTTTTCTTTTTGCTGCACATAAGAAGTACATCAGTCCGTGGGGTCGTACATATCCACGCTGTCATTCCCTCCCTGCGAGGCTGCGACGGGAGCCGGGGTGTTCCTGATGCAGTCTGATGCGTACAGTTCCACTGAAGCTCCCTGCACACATATTAGGTTGCCCGGGGATGGCTGGACTTCGCTTTAGCCCAAGAAATGCGACACACGTGCGCAATATCTACGTTCCATGACGTTTTTTCCATGCGAGAGACCGCGTCTGACCATTCCATGACAAATCCATCCCATTCCATGACACCATCCCATGTCTGAACGCAGGCTTTCAGCGAATGCAAACTGCTCAAACAAGCGTTATTTTTGTGCATAATTACGAATTGAATAAAATGTAGTTTTCCAAATTCGTTGTGTGTAGGAAGCTTAATTTTCCAAGCGACGACGAGCCACACAGCACAAATCGAGACCAGCGGCGCGGCATCGCAGGGCTACGAAGACAACTTTGAATGCAGAGAGCAGCTGACAATGGCGCCGGCGATGGCGATGCGATGGCAAACAATGGTGAACGGTTTGGGCACATGTGGGCAGCCAGTCCGGCGACCTGGAGCGTAAGCCATGAGTCCGACTGTCTTTACGTGTTCTTAGAACTGATGTCAGATTTCAACAATCAGAGCAAGTAAAGATGTAAAACCGACCGCTGGCGTGGGTGGATAAACCGCATTTAAATCACTCAGCAATCTCAACGCTCTCCGATACGATGACTCGTTACATATCAACGAGAAACTGCTAATTTCACCTTGTCCGAAAACTGCCCCGGATGAAGCTCGCTGCGCTCAAATCAAAAGTTTGAGCCTCGCGTTCTGTCCGCTACACAAACGTGTGATGCAGTTCATTGTAATCTCAATGCCTTGGAAAGGGCGTTTTCAGCGGCACGGCTCGCAGCTACCGGACTCGTTAATCGCTACAAAGTCATCAATTTTGTTGACACAATTCCTAGTTCCTGCCCACTCTTGAGACCATTCGATTTGTGAACTTAGCTCACGATTGGCACATACCTATGCGAATCTCTGTCTGCTGTGTTACCCTACCACATTCCCCGTTTTTTTTTTCTCGGCAGGCTAGCCGATAGGTCATTTGCACAGCAGCGCGCAGGGGCAGGGACGTAGCCAGGAGGTAGGAGACCAGGTGGTAGATTTCTTACTCCGGTCACGTCATCCCTTTACCACATGCTTTCACGCAATCAGCCAAGCGAGTATCACGCCCGAGGGCTAGATGGCAGCACCGTCTGCCCAGACTTCAAGGACAGCACAGTGTGGGCAGTTGCGGGGCCCTCTTTATAGTAAATATTTGCCTAGTGTCATTTGAGGGCTCAGCCCCGCGAGCTGGGGCCCTGAATAAGCCTGCAACGAGCCCTTCGTGCCCTCGGGCGTTCAAATTGGGCCCTTGATCGTCGGTTTTAGCGATCCCTCCACGATCTTTGGGCCTCCTCGAACAATGTCTTTGGTCGCATTGGGGCCCTGGCCTTGGCAGCACACGGCTCCCTTTTAGATGCTTTGAGGCTCTGAAAGACGCGCGGCGCCAACTGATGTAAATTGCTAGATCCGGCTTTGTCGCGGCTTTGGAAATGGGCTCTCAGGCCCATGCCGACACGGAGCCGACTGCGCGTTACTGGTGGCCTTTGACCGACATATAGACCCTTATCGACTCAGGAGTCAGGGGGCGCCTGATCAGCGCGCAGGGCTCTCTGGCTGGCACAGGAGTGCTGGCCCTGCGGACCGGAGCCCCTGAATACAAACTCTGGCCGACCTATCGGTCTCTTCGGGCCCTCAAATCAGGCCCTTAATCGCAGGTCCCGAGAGGTCCTTCGAGTCCCTCAGAACCTAAATGGGCGGCGTGGGACCTCTGCGCCTCTCTTTCCCGCGTAATCGGCCGAATGCCTGTGGCTTTCAGCAAATCGACTCTCCCCTTAGCGGGACCCTTTAGTGACGTCATTTTAGAATTTAGCAAATTTTTGTCTTTTCGTAGTGCCAATTTCATTTGCGGTGACCTTGTGCAAGGTCTGAAACCTGGCGCAGACTCACCGGTGCGATCTAGGGCCCTCCTGTCTCCGCAGCGCGTTCTTTCAATTGAAACGAAATTTTATTCTGCGTTTGCCACCAGCGGTCTATGCCAGCGCTTGCTGTTCTGTTGGCCTTGAGAGTTACTCGCCTACGAATATTTACACTCAAGCAGCCATTCACTCGTCAGGTCTCGAGGATGGCGGACGCAAAGCGGGTGACAGTGGTGGGGTCCGGCAATTGGGGGTCTGCGATCAGCAAGATTATCGGTAAGAATGCCACGAAATATGACCAGTTTGAGAATGAGGTGAAGATGTGGGTTTTTGAAGAAATGGTTGATGGTAAAAAATTGACAGAAATCATCAACACCACTCATGAGAACGTGAAGTATCTTCCAAAACACAAACTGCCAGAGAATGTCGTGGCTGTTCCGGATTTGGTTGAGGCTGCAAAAGATGCTGACATTCTGGTTTTTGTCGTCCCTCACCAGTTCTTGCGCAGGACACTGAAAACCCTTGAGGGCAAGATCAAGCCAACTGCTGTGGCCCTGTCCCTAATTAAGGGATTTGACCTGAAGGAGGAAGGTGGGATATCTCTTCTTTCCCATACCATCCAAGACATTTTGAAGATTGAGGCCAGTGTGCTGATGGGAGCCAACCTAGCTCCTGAAGTGGCTGCTGAAAAATTCTGTGAAACCACCATTGGTTGCAGAACTCCTGCCTATGAAGGACATGCTGAAAAACCTCATACAAACAGAGTACTTCCGTGTCATGGTTGTGGATGATGCCAATGCAGTTGAGCTGTGTGGAGCTTTGAAGAACATTGTGGCATGTGGTGCAGGGTTTGTTGATGGCCTTGGCTATGGCGACAACACCAAGGCAGCAGTGATTCGACTGGGTCTTATGGAGATGATAAAGTTTGGTGAAGTGTTCTACAAGGGCTGCCTCCTGTCCACCTTCTTTGAGAGCTGTGGGGTGGCAGACCTGATCACAACCTGCTACGGTGGCCGCAACAGGAGAATAGCTGAGGCATTTGTGAAGACCGGCAAGACCATTGAAGTGCTGGAGAAGGAGATGCTCAATGGACAGTGTGCCCAGGGGCCTGAGACTGCTCGCGAGGTGTTCGTGATGCTGGAGAGGGAGAAGAACCTGGATGGTTTCCCACTGTTTGTGGCAATCCACAGAATATGCACTGGTCAGATACCACCAACTTCCATGATTGAATGCATCAGGGAGCATCCAGAACATCTGTAAGCCAAACCAGCTTTTGCAGGATTTCTCACCCCAGCTAGCCAGCTTGTCTGCTAGGGCTCCTGTACTGTCTGCTTGCTTTTTTGCTCGTGGTGCTAAAATTTGGTTTTGTACTGCTCACTGCTGCATGCTAGCAAGGTGTTGACTATAGTTTGCAGATGATGATGCATAGTGCCTGTTACCAGACCAGAGACATTTGTATGTGATGGTATTTCATGGTGACTCACATTGGAAAGGTATGCTTTCAGTCCTCTAGACCAGATCTGTAGATAATTTAGTGAGATTATTGTCATTTCCTTTTGAATTCAGAGTGGATTTCTTGCCTGGTTTTATTTTTGATACACTTAACTATGATTGGCTATGTATTGCTGAGTGCTAATGTGCATGGATATGGATCGTGCCTTACACAACCAGTCTGAAAATCAGGAACTTGGCCAGAAAGTATTGTTTAGGTAGCATACTCTTCCATAAAGAAATAGTGCTGTTAGGATGCTGTTGTTCCATTTTGGTCCTGTTTCTCCCAATGCTATTGGATTTTCCATTTCTCAACACCTGGTATGAGAATGGGCTCTACTAAATTAATCTTTTTGGCAACCTTGGTAGCTACATTCTGTTTTGGAGCAAACTTGTACTGATCCTATTTCTCCATTACCTATGTAATATTCCATTTTCCCTGCACTATGCACTGTAATCCACTTTGCAGCAACCTTACTATGTTTGTTAAACTATTTGGGGGAACTTTATTACTTTGGAACAAACTGCTAGTACACTTATTTTTCAGCAGAGTTGGTGAGCTGGAGGTTGTTTTGCAGTACAATACATTGCCCATCCTGGGGATTATGTGTATTTTACATAATAGTACAATAAATTCTGCCCATTTTTAGCAAAAGTAGAAATAGCAGTAATATTTTTGCAGATTGTCCCATGTTTTGAACCTCAAGCTCCAGTCTCCACATAGTTGTTCTACAGAAAATATGTGTTGTTGCCAAACAGATGTTCAAGTAATTGACAGTTTGCAATGAGATGCTAGCATGCAAGCTCCATATTTTATCGGTACATATTTTTCAGAGTGAGACAAATTTTGAGCATAGAGTGTCTCAGATTGGGGCGGCACGTCACGTTCGCTGGGGCTGTCTCCGCTTAGCCTAAGCCTGCGATTACTGGTCTCAGGATTTAGGAGGGAGATAGGCGAGCGTGCACTTGGTCCCGTTACGTCCGTTACCAGATTACATATCCCGTCCGGCAGCCTGGTCCCTACCGCACGGGTGCCTCACTCCTGTGCTGTGTACTGCCTAACGTGAGCTGTCTCCATGGCAACAGCCCCAGCCAGGCCTCTCTCGTCCCGCTAACCTTGTCTGGCGTCTGGTGGCCTGACCTGCGTGCCTGTGCCTATATCTGTGTGTCCGTCTGTCCGTCTGCACCCCTGCACGGGGCTGGGTGGTGTTCTCGGGCCGTGGGCGCGGTCGGCCCGACCAATGTCAATACACAGCTGTGCTGAGCAGGCGTCTGCCTCGGCGCGGCGCGGCCGCGGGCTGTCTGTGACGGGGTCGGTCGGGGCGAGGGTCGGCCCGGCGGCGGCGGCGGCGGCGGCTGCAGACGGAGAAAGCGGCGCCGACGGCGGACTTCGGCCGATGGGTCAGACGGCCGCTCACGAGCGCCCGCGGACGGGGCTGGGGCGGCTGAGGGGAAACTGGGGCGACTGTGGACGGGGCTGGGGCGGCTGGGGGGAGACTGGGCGACTGGGGGGGCTGGGCGGCTGGGGGAAACTGGGGCGACTGTGGACGGTGCTGGGGCGTCTGGGGGCGGGGCTGGGGCTGGGGCTGCTGAGGGGAGACTGGGGCGACTGTGTACGGGGGCTGGGGCGGCTGGGGTGGGGCTGGGGCGGCTGAGGAGAAACTGGGGCGACTGTGGACGGGGCAGGGGCGGCTGAGGGGAGACGGGCGAGCGCGGATAGGGCGCCGGTACGTGTAAGGTGACCCGGGTTGGGGTGGCTGGGGATGGTTCTCGCGGAGAGACGCGTTGTCATGCCGGTCTGAACTTTGTGCCGGATTGCCAATCGACGCATATTGCTTGTAGTTTATTAGCGTCACCACACCCCAGCGGAAGTGAAGCCGGTGAAAGTTTCCTTGGGCGGGAATCGAACCCGATTTCTCGATGAAAAAAAATGGTCATGGCGCGGCCACTTACTTTTCGAGGCCCGCTTGAACGGTTCCTTTGGGAGGAAATTTCGAAAGCGGGGGAGACCCGTGAGCATGACGCCTGCGCCTTCTGCCCACGACAGCCGCCGTTCCCAGCAATGCCTGACTGGGAAAGGATCATGTTACCGGGTAGCGCGTCGCAGCCATTTGCTTGCACTCGGATCTTCAGTGTTCTTGTGAGCCGTGTGTAGCTTTCGGTCACCTTCGTCCGGTATGAGTGCATGTGTGCGATTGCTTAAGCACGGAGGGGTAGATGTGTACTGGTGTTTAATATGCTCGTCAGGGTCGGGTAATGTGTGTAGAATGCTCTAATCATTCAGACTTACGCGGCAACGATAAGCAAGCGATTGTTCAGTCTGGACTCGTGGACTATATTTGTCTGTCAGGAAGATCCTTCCTGTTATTGCCTTGTGGACTAAGAACATACCAAACGGTGACCAGGCGCCACATTGAAAAATGATATTGGCCCAGCCGTTTGAATAGCGTCAGTGCATGGAATCTCTGTCCGAAGCTGGCTGCACAAGCGGCGTCAACCTAGTTACACCTATCACGGGCGCGTGGTTCACGCCAATAGCCAATAGAAAGGTGCGTTCCGCCGGACGCCGCTCACGCTATCCAGCTTCGAACAGCCGCGTGTCCGTCTGGTTGCGGTGAGATGTGTGGCGTGCTAACCGTGACTTCTCCAACTGCAGAGACCAGCCTTGCAGGTTGTAGAGTGACCTGACCGGGTCGCGGTCAGTGACCCGGCCTGCCAACCGAGCACGGTGAGATTTTGCTGTGGACATGTAGCCGATGGAGAAGGCACGTGAAGGAGACCCCATGCCGTTCTCCTCCTATCGTGTGTGGGGCTCGATGTGTGGGAGACACGGGTGGATCGGGATCGAAAACATCGACGGGAACTTTCGTAAGAAATCTGCAGGACGTGTGCAAAGTATCTACAGGTGATACGCCCAAGTATCTACAGGTGTCCGCAGTCGGCTTGCTCGCTCGCTCGCCAGGCTGCTGCGCGCGGTACGCTGCCAGATGCTCTCGGTTTACGGCCGCCTTGTAGAGAATGCTACCGCCCTGCTATCGACGCTGTTATTGGACATGCATGGCGTCCCGTATGGGACACAGGTGGTGGAAGTATCTTTGGTCTGTAGCTTACAACGAATGCCGCGAACGTCTTCCAGCGACGCTCTTTAAGCGTTGGCCAGGGATCAGTTAGCTTTACTCTGGTGGATATGTGCAAATAGAACGCATTTCGGGCAATTAGTCTGGATAAGCGTCGGCTTCGGACACCGACGCATCAGCAGTAAATTCCATTGACAATCATGAGCAGCACGCTATGCTGGGCGCACATTTGCACACCATGATTTGCACACAACTACCGACATCGGCTTACACCCTCAGCGAATCACGAGAACTTTCGTCCACGGACCAGAAGCAGATCCGCGAACCTGGTCTGATTCTGGCACGGTGGGCGGGGCCACGTGACGGACGCCGTTTCAGCCGCGCCACACTGGCCGGCGTCTCCACCGACAGCCCGAGCCGCCGCGGTCCATTACGCTGAACACAGACCAGACAGTCCGGGAGCGGACCGGACAGTCCAGCTCCGTCCTCCCGACACGGCCGTCCGCCGGCTGCTACTCACAGGCGGCGCCACCGTCGCCCGTAGTCTCGGCAGCAGGCCTGGCAGCCGGCCAGGTCCGGCGCCGCCGCGGCAGGGGCAGGGTCAGGACCAGGACAGGGAGGGGGGCGCTCGACACGGCAACGGTGCAGCGACGGCGGGGACGGTCCTGCTGCGTTTCACACGGTCGCTATGTTGTAGGAAAACTCCTGAACGTCGAAACGGGACTGTCAGACGCTCGGTTTATTTCTCGTTGACACCGGCGAAATTCCCCCTTTTGTCGCCCCCCCCCCCCCCCACTTTTGGCACCCGGTGACAGGGGCTGCCGGCCACGCCCCTGCGTGGCAGACTCAATAGTCAACACAGGCACCGGCTAACGCTGACTGGAGACTGTCACTGAGCAATGGGCTGACTGTTCGCTCTGTCGCCGTTGGCTCGGCCCCGACCGCCGGCAATGTGCAAGCTAAGGCCCCATCCTCATTTCTAGGTCATTTCTTTCGGCCTTGTGCATTCCCATACACTGTCTATTCTTCTACGATCGCTTCTCTCGTGCCGCCCGGGTGGGGGTACGCCGGTCGGACGGCGTCCTGCGAGGGGGTCGCGTTGTCCTCTGTGACCGTGGCCGAGGGGGGGGGGGAGGGGGCTCACTAGAGACCTCTGGTGCACCCTGGGCTGGCTATCTCGGGACACAGACGATTGCCACCTCCTCCCCCTGCCACGAGCTGCTGGGAGCGGCGGCTGAGCGAAGGCACCTGTCCGATACGGGCGTCGGGAGGGGAGGGAGGAGGGCCGGCGGCGGTACTGGCGCGCCGTCGTCATAGATAGCGTGTGTGGTCATGCATGACCAAGCGTAACTAATATACGTGTCATCGCGGTCGAAAACTGGGTCAAAGTAGGTGTCTTAAACTTACAACTTGTCTACAGTGGCAATCGGCCGTTGTCTGTACAAATAGCCACACGCGTATGCACCATCGCTATGCACAGTGTCGATGTCACGGATTGTTTGCTTGGGGTGGGGCAGAATATTCCAGCGGACTTGAACAAAACGGTCCTGCTCACGGCTAGGGCGGGCTCCTGGGCAGTGCTGCATTCAGGGCGGGGGAGGGAGAGGCGGAGAAGGGGGGGGGGAGGGGGGTACCGGAGAACGTCTCCCGCATCAAATTGTTGCTTGCAACAAGACCCACAGAAACAA